GGACTGGCTTCCAGAAAGAAACAGACTCAGCTCTACAGACTGGCCATAGACCAAGACCTGGACATTATTGCAGTTCAGGAAACCAAAGTGGAGAGCATGGACACCACCGAGAGCCTACTGCAACGTTTCACTGGACGCTACACCGCCAGCGTCAGTCATGCACTTGGTAGGTCGGCAGGGTGTGTGATCTTTGTGCGGAATAGTTTAGGTGCCAGTGTTCAAAATGTCACGTCTGATTCATCCGGAAGGTCTGTTGTATGTGATTGGCCTTCTTTTTTCTTAACTGGCGAATGATTTGTTTATATGCACCTCTTAATGTTGATGAACGGTGTGCAACATTTGACGAAATTCGTACTTATTGTGAATGCGATCGCATAGTCATCCTAATGAGAGATTTTAATTGTGTGATCAGTGCCGATGATAAAACAAGTACATCGCATTTCAACGACTCAAGCACAGTCGCGTTAACGAATATAATTTCTGACTTAGACCTTGAAGATGTTGCACAGTGTATTGGTAAAGGACCAATACTGTATACTCATTTCCAAGGCTCCAATCATGCGCGCCTATAGGCTTACGTGTCACTGGAATCAGTTCCGATTATCAGTGAGTACAATGTCCTCTCTATTTCATTTAGTGATCACTGCTTAGTATCATTTGTAAGAGGTAAAAGAAATAGACGTAGACCAGTATTCAACTGGTACACGTGGAAGCTAAATTCTAATCTCTTGGAAGATGAAATATTTATGGACAGTGTTCGAGAGGCGTTGGTAAACATAGACAGTGGAGACCAAAAATATGGAGTGAGGTGGGAACAATTTAAACAGAATATAAAGTTGAGAGCTATAGAACCCTCATGTGTAATAAAACACGAAAAGAGTGAAGAAGAAAGAACCCTATGCTTAAATCTGAAAGAACTGTTAGCAGAGGAAAGCAAAACACCAGGCTTATTTACAAATGATATAAGGTCAGTAAAGTCCAAATTGGAACTATTGATGAGGAGAAGTACCGTCCCGCGCAAATAAGGGCAAGGGCAGAGGAAATGACCGTAGGAGAGAAACCGACCAAAAGAATGCTTGGTCTCGAAAAACGAAACTCTCAGCGGAATGTTATACATCAGATTGAATACATGGGTAACGTTACAAGTGAACAGAGATTTATAGAGGATGCTTTCAACGAGTACTACACCACTTTAATTGATAAATGTAAAGAAAATGTAGATGAATTCAAGAATGCATTTTTAAAATTAATGCCAAAGGTTGAGGACGGCAGGAAAGACAGCTTAAAATGTCCTATTTCTGAACCGGAAGTGACAAAAGCAATCATTGCCCTCCATTTGGGAAAGTCCCCAGGACCTGATGGGTTAACAGCCGCATTTTATAAGGAATTCAAACACGAACTAGCACTGATCCTAGCAGCGGTTTTCAACGAAGCTTTAGACATAAAGATTCTACCACCTTCTTTTCTGCTATCTCATACTATATTAATTTCAAACACTGAGGACGCAGTTAAATTACGTGAAGTGAAATCGTAAAGGCCCATCAGTCTATCAAATATCGACTACAAGATTTTGATGAAAGTGTTAGCTAGGAGACTGCAGACAGTTATTAATAACATTGCAGGCGACCACCAGACATGTGGGATTAAAAGGCGCACTATATTCACAAACATTCACAAGGCCCTAAGTGTATTGGAGTGCGGCGATGCCACAAACGATCACATCGCGATGATCCAAATAAATTTAGAAAAAGCATTTGACCGACTACCACACGAAATTCTTTTTTCTTTTGTTAGACTAGCTATGTCAATGTTGGCAAAGTAATTCGAGATACAGTTCGAATGGCATATACTGGATGTAAAACTCGGCTAATCATCAACAAAGTTCTTGGGAAACGAATTAATGTCGGACGTTCTGTACGACAAGGCTGCCCTTTGTCTACCCTTCTATTTTCAACTTATATAGAGTCATTTTGCCAAAACGTCGTGAAAAGCAGTAACATAGTGGGGTACAAACTACAAGAAGCTGAAGTACGGGTACTGGCATACGCAGATGATATAGCTGTGTTTTGTAAAGATTATGATAGTATCGCTGATACCATAAAAATTGTGAACCTTTATTGAAATGCAAGTGGTAGTTTGGTAAACTAGAGCAAGTGCCTGGGTTACTGGCACGGCGAATGGCCTGTGACTCCACAATTTGTTGCTGGTATTTCATGGACTACTACACCGGTACGATACTTAAATGTGCCATTAGAATATTATTGTGACAGTGAACCGTACTGGCGGCGTCAGGCCGTGGAGCTACGAGAAAAAGCTGAACAACTCAATGGTTTACAGCTATCAATTTTCGCCAGAGCGACCTTTTGTAATGTATTTTTAGTCAGTAAGCTCTGGTATGTCCTTCAGGTATTGCATTGTTCACGTGTGAATCTACAGAAGCTTCATCGAATATTTGCTGTTTTCTTGTGGGGTTCTTGTTGGGAGCGAACAAGTAGAACTA